ATGAGCCCCTGTTATGGCTTGTGTCTAGATGTTCTCCCAAAGACTTATGGAGTCATAGATGGGGCTTTTTCAGAGGTGGCTGAGTCTAGAGTGTGTATTTGATTTATAATGCAATAATAGGATAAAGGGTGTCAGGATTAAGGGTGGGTGATTACCAAATTAATCTACCAATTGGTTTCGTAGCACACTAATCCTGGTAGCTTGGATACACTATAAGGGACAGAAAAAGGCTTGTTTTGTCTCTTGCTTTCTTTACTACGTTCTGCCCTCCATAAACTCTTTCTCCTCTGCAATGCCTGTCTGCCATGCCACCCTGCCTTGGAACATGACTGAAACTTCAACAAACTGTAAGCTAAATAAACTTTTCCCCCTTTAACTTTAGGTGTCGGGTTTTGTCTCAGCAATGAGAGAGACGTAACTAAGACAGCCCTAGAGATTCTAAGTCACTGTCCTGTGGGAGGTAATGGAAGGCTCTCCAAATGACTCTCATATGCAGTCAATGTTGAAAACTACCACAGGAGAGCTCAGGAATGTTAGCAGTTTTCACCATAGGGTAATGATGAACAGCTGCTTCTCAGGAACCAGAAGATTGCAACAATACTGAGGCTACCACAGGGAATCTGAGAATCTATGGGGCACTAATCAATCTACTCTCACCTGCCCTCACAGTTCAGTGCAGGAGGAAAGGGCAATCTTATGTAACTTTCCAACTCTTTTTCTCTATACTAGGAGTGTGGTTGGACTGTGGGATTTTGTTTTGTTTTGTTTGTGGTACTGGGGATTAAATACAAGGTATTCACATTGAGCTACATCCCCAGCCCTTTTTAAAAAGTCTTTTATTTTGAGATAGGGTCATGTGAAATCACGAAGTTGGCCAGTCAGGGGTCGAACTTGCATTTCTCCTGGCTCAGCATCCCAGAGTGCTGGGATTACACATGTGTACCACCATACTCAGCTTTGAATGTGATTTTATAGGTTCTGTGAGGACAGTAGGTACCAGAATTCTCAAATAGTAGCAGTTTTTTTTCCAAATTTTAAAGGAGTTATTACTCAGAGATACTCTTTTGTAATTGTATAAAAATTTTTATGTGAAAATAACAGACGAAATCTCTTGAAAATAAGTATAAATAATTATTATACAACCAGACCTCAGGTGCACAGGTGCACACATGCCTTTGGTGGGTGAAGCAACTGACCATAGAAACCCAGGACAACCTTCCCCAGGTGCATCGGTGCACACAATTTTGGAGGGCAGAGTAATTAGCAAAAGTAGCAACATGGAAATATTTGAAGTAGCAGTGAAGAGCCAGCAGTTGGGCTCTGGAGAACTCCACCAACAGAAGGCCACATTCAGAGGTCAAGATCAGCTTTAAACCCAGCACAATTCCCATGGCAAACATGGCAGAAATGCACAGCACATTTCTGGGATCTGACATGGACACTATCACAGCACTGTAATCACCAGAGGTATTTTATTACTATGATTCTCCCTTGTTTGTATGATTGGCTATTCCTTTCCTGTCTGGTTGGTTGTTGTCTTGTTTGGTGTTGTATTTTGTGGTTGTTTGGGATTTTGTTTTTTTTCTCCTGTCTTTTTCTGGTCTCTTTTTCTTTTCATTTCTTTTTTGTTCTTCTTCTCTTTCTTCCTTCTTTGCTCACTGTTTATGTTTCTCACCTTTCTGTTTTCTTCTACTGAGCCCCTTTCTCTCTTTCCTCAACTACTTTTTGAATTTAAACTTTCAAGTGAGTAAACATTGTCTCTTCCCTTTCTGATTACTCCTACACATTTTATTTCATTCTTCCCCTCCTGTGTCTCCCAGTTTCCCAAAGCTAGAGCCATCATCCTTTGACCTCCAGCCTTTACTCTACTATATTTGACTTCATTCATCACTTTATCCTGCCCCCTACCGATCTTAAAACTCCACCCCTTGCAGAAGGATAAAATCACTCCACTAAGGGGAAAGTCACTGCACACAAGTACATGGCATATGTCTGATTTTGTTATATAACTTTAGAGTTTGCTACTGTGGTCAGAGGTAGCAGGTTAATGGTTATTATAGTTTGTCAGTAGTTAAGCTGTACTTGAAACTGTTATTATTAACTGTACTACTTTAGCCAGGATGTTGTACATGTTATAATCAGTTTTTCTCCCCTATATAATAACACTGTGATTCTGTGAGGTCATAATCACCACAGCCCAGGACCAAAGGATTGGGTGCTGAGCCAAATAGTAACTCCGCATCCTTTACAAATTGGGAAATTAGGTTCTTGGGATAGCTATAAATAACCACCTACATCTAGACGACATCCCTGAAGAACAGACATCTCATAGGGAAGCCTCAATACTAATGATAAAGCTATCTATCATAAGAAATCAGCAAGCATCAATTTAGAAAACAAAATAAAATAAAAAAGAGAGAATAGAAAATGACAAGATTGCAAAGCAAAATGCAACCCCAGGCCCCCAGCCCACCCAGGACAAGTCTGGAGTACAATGAGATAGAAGAAATTGGAAGTGAAACACTGGAACTTCCTGAAATGATAGCAACAGAAGTGAAAGAAACAAGTAGAAAGGCTATAGGGAAAATAATCTCTCAGGTACAAAAAGAAGTAATGCTTAAAATCAAAGATATTGGAGAAGGCAGATAAAAGTATAGATGAGCTTGGAAAAATGATGGAAACAAAAAAAATGCCCAACATAGTAAACAAATAGAATCCATGAAACAGATCCAAACAGAAATCCAAAAGATTTAAACCTCCAGTGAAAGTGAACGAAGGAGGGGATATAGCTCAGCAGCATAAGTGCCTGCCTGGCAAGCACAAGGTCCTGAGCTTGATTCCCAGTACCACAAAAAAAAAAAAAAAAAAAAAAAAAAGAAAAGAAAAAAAGAAAGTGAACGAAGAAAAGGACAGAGTTTCAGATTTTGAAGACAGAATTTCAGCTAGAGACCATGAAAGAAAGATATCTTAAAAATAGCCAGAAATCATGAAAAATCAATCCAACACCTACAGGATGAAGCAAAGAAAAAGAACATAAGATTGATTTGGGTCAATGAACAAGCTAGAGACAACACAAATGCCATTAAAAAAAAGCTCTTTGCAGAAATAATAGCAGAAAATGTCCCATAAATGTATAAAACTGGTGCAGCTGTAGGGAAAATGGAATCCTGCTCCACTGTGGGTAGGAGTGAAGACTGGTGAAACTACTGTGGAAATTAGTGTTGAGATTCCTCAAAAAACTAGGATTAGAGGTCTCATTTGATCCAGCTACCCTTTCTGGATATTTTCCCAGAAGAATTAAAAACATATCACAGTGATATATATACACCCATTTTTATAGCAGCACAATTTGTTTTGATTTTCTTTTTTTGGTACCGGTAATTAAACTCAGGACTTTGTGCTTGCCAGGCAGGCACTTGTGCCACTGAGCTATATCCCCAGCCCCTGTAGCAGCACAATTTGTAATAGCTAAATCTTGATAACAATCCAAATGCCCATCAACTTAGGAATGGATAAAAAAGATGTGGTATTTTTCTACAATGGGGTATTACTCAGCTATAAAGAAGGTAAATGGGTGCAACTAGAGACCATACTCATAAGTGAAATAAATCAGACTTGCATGTGTAAATATCATACCATTTCCCTATTGTAAGAAGTTTAGGGAGTAAATAAGAGCCAACTATACAACAGATTTTTTGAAGTGGGAAGAAACTGTTCAAAAGGTAAGAGAAGCTGGGGTGGGAGAAAGGAGATATGAAGTAAGGGGAAGGGAAAATGTACATATACATACAAGCTAGTTATGGTAGTTATCCTGTTAATTTCTATTAGATCATTGAAAAGAAATATTTGTGCTTACTTGTTTGATCAGTTTTTCATGCCTTTATCTTGTGTAATCTGAGCACTTGCTTTGAAGATAACAATATGTAATGTATTAACCATTCTTACTGTCCTATTATCTTGTTTTGAAATTTATCTTATTGTCTCTATTGTTTTAAAATAAAAAAAAATCCCATATAAAGTTACAGGCATTTTCTATGGAGATTTTTAAAAATTATATTCATTTCTTTATAATGTTTCAAAACAAAAATAAATTAGTAAAACTTTAATATGTTTACCAAGGAATGTTTTTAAATGGGTGCCATGGTACACATGTGTAATCCCAGTTAGTCAGGAGACAGAAGGATCATAAGTTCAAGGCCAACCTGGGCAACTTAGGGAGACTGTTTCAAAATAAAAAATAAAAGTGGCTAGGGTATAGCTCAGTAGTAGAGTGCACCTGGGCTCTATCCTTAGTACCACCAGAAAAAATGAAAATAAGAATATTTTCAACTATTTTGAGATAAATATGAAGTCAAAAGTTTTATATAAACTTATCTGAAAAAACATGCACATTGGACAGTAGTGGCTTTTTCTTTCAGCATATAAAATCAATAAATCTTATAGCACTTTGTAACTGCTATTAGGTGATCCATAATTACATTATTCTATACTTAAAATGGTAACTCTAGAAAGTAAGTCAGAACAAACACTTAATATGGTAACAACACCAGAACAGAGGCAAGGCCACCAGAGAAGAATAAAGGTTTGATTTCTTTTGTAGCATGTCCAAAGCTCTGGATATAAGGAGGATTAATATATGGTACTACGTCGAAAGTAAACACATCCCTATTTTTTATTACCAATAATAATACATTTATTCACTGGACTGGATGAGACTGTATAAACAACCAGAAAGAACCATTTAAATGAATCTCTACAATGTTTAGAAATGTAAAATAGAAAATTTGCAAAAGGATATTTGTTCCAGAACACATACAAATTCACACCAAAGCTATATGTTGTGGCCTTGAGTTTTTCCATAAAATGGAACTAACAATCAGCATTAAAATATTTCACATTATAATAAAGAGCCTCCTAGTTCTAGGCAGTGTCTAAGCATATGGTTGCATTCAATCCTCATGATAACCTAACCACTGTTATTTCTATTCTACAGATGGGGAGACCAAGGCTTGAGTCTTCATTACTCAGAGTAGTACAAGAGCAGCAGCAGTGTTTTCCAAGAGCATGTGGGGAACGCAGAATTAGGCTGTCTCAGACTGTGCACGCAGTGTGAGTAGTTTAGAACATCTGCAGGTGACCCTGGTGTGAGGACGGCTCTGGGTTAAGTCACTTAAGGTCCTGCATAGCAGCCGAGCCAAGACAGCCTGGTGATATCCAGCAGCTCTAAAATGTATGCTCTAGGAAATGAGCACTCTTCTGTGTTATGAGTGAAAATAACAGAGGTAAGTGTGAAAACGGCCATTGTGCAGGGTGCACATAGGTCAGCTCAGAATGGGAGAGATGGACAGAATCACATATAGGCATCAAATTCCGAATCTCTCTGCACTCACAACCATGACGGTTTCTGCCCTAATTCTGAGGGACAGTCTGTGTCAGTATCTCCCACTGTTCAAAGTGCCACTCCTCAAAAATCCTCTCCCTCCCTACTCCACGTGCAGCTGAAGCACTACCTGGGGTGGACCGGAGGACTTGCCCTCCTGGCCCCTGCTGTGGCTGTCCCCTCTGCCTGGGTGTAGCCCCTGGTCCTGTGCAGAGTGCCTTAGAGAAGAGCTTGCCTGGGACTCCCTGCCCTTGCAAACATGTAGCTCTGCACCTGTTGGGGAGGTGAGGCCCCCTCATCTAGGGTAAGGCATCCCCAGGGAGAGCTCACTTCTGGTCACAATTAAGTCTTTCCAGTTACCTTCTGGCACTCTCTGCTTTTGTTCTCCCACCCCTAAGTTTCCTATTTCCACCCGTTTGCTGCACCATAGATACTACCCTTCAGCCAGGTACACCTGCCCTGCCTGCCCGGCAGCGGCCAACACAGTATTCCTCGGCATGGTTTTGAGCTAAAGGCTGTAGTAGCTGTGCAGCTGAAGGACATCCTTCAGGGTCCTTATCACCATATCTCCAGGAAACTCCCATCAGCATCCAATCTATGTGACCAAGTTACAGCCCTCTCCAACTAAGTCTTCACCCGAGGCCAGCCTTCTTTGCCTGAGTCTCTACATTCTGTCCTCCAGACTGTCCACATCACTGCATATGGTAGAGCTTTGTACAGCATCTAGAACATAACAGATGTTCCATAAATGTGGGTTGTTTTTTAGTAAGTTGTTAATTTTTCTCCTTAGTTCTTCATGCCATCTCAGGGAGGTCTGACCATAAAGTCCCCAGAAATGCTCAGACATGTCCCAGCACCTCCAGGGAGAAAGCTTCCACTCCCGCATGGCTCCCTTTCATTAACAAAAGGAATGGATTGTGAAGTGAGGAACCATTAAGAGTTAGAGAGGAGGCACTGCTGTTCCTTTCCTCTGCAGATGTGCACATGCGGAGCATTCCCTGCCTCTCTCCGGGGACAGCTTTGTCCCGGGCAGCTCTTTGCTCCTGGGAGGAGCCCCCTTTTCCCAGACACTTCACCTGGAATTTTAGGGTTGCATGCAGTCAACACCCAGGCCTGGCTTCTCTGGGTCCCGGGTGACATGGCAAATGGGACTCAACAAGGCAGACGCTTCCGGGTGCAGCAGCTCCTACCCAACACCAGAAGACGAGACTGTGCTCCATGACACTGAGTAGTGTCAAAGTTGTCCAGAAACCTCTAATCTCAAGGAAGATGTGATTTAAGACACCACTGAATTCATATCTGTTTGGGTTCATTTTTTTCTATGAACAAAAGGAATCTATAACTAGAAATATCACAGCGATCCAATCCATCTGGGCATTAAATGTAATCCCACTTTGTGAAATTCGCATTTTAAGTTGTGGAAACTGCGGCGCACCAGGTTGGTTAATAAGTTAAGTAGCTAAGAAGCAGTCTGGGTTACGGTCACGTGCATGTCCCTCACATCACATCACAGTCTTTGGCCCCAGAGAGTGATGATCTCATCCCCAGTGCCAACTCCGTGTGAGCGGGCATCTGCATCCCACACTGAGACTCAGAGCGCGAGGCTAGAATGACCGTAAGGGGATGCCGCTTGTGGTGTAGCCTTGGCCTGTCCCTCGTGGCCTCCACACAAGCTTGTGGACAAGGTCTGTTACAGATTGGTGGGAAGAATTACCAAATTCTCAGTAGGGCCCCGCCATGGCAGTGGTCCACAGTGGTGCTCAACTGTCCTTACCTACCTTTCAGTGAGGGACTGGCATAGAAGAGAAAACCGCATGGGCACTGAGAATGGTGCTGACAGAAGGGTGTGCTGCCACTGCCCATGGGAGCCATGCCAAAAGGAGCTACCATCACTGGGGCAGGGTGATGGAATCTGTCCCAAGCCAAAGCTGCCTTCATGAGACTCAATTTCAGCAGAGCTGTGTGGAGGCTGCCCACGCTGCATGCCCCTGGGACCAGTCCAAGGCCACCCTTGGGAGCCCCAGATAACACGGAGCCTGGGGAGCCCTGGCTCCCACACCATTTCCAAGGTGACTCATGTTTGTGAGGGTAGAGCTTGTTGATCCTTCAAGAAACTCCTGGGAATGAAGAACAACCCCAGTGAGAGGGCAGGGTCAGAGGCACTGAAACCTGAGGCTAGGAGCATCTCACAGAGATTTTCAGTTCTGACTGGGACCTGTGGCAGGGGAATGCTGGACAAGCAGGCTTCTGTGGTGTCATTTGCCATCTGCCTTGGCCGTGGGACCAGCATTGCGCACAGAAAAGGATCTCCGAACCTTTGGGGGCCATCAACATCGCTAACTTTTCCTACTTGGAGCTAATTTTAGCCTTTGGCACCTCCACTCTCCTGACTTCTACTTTTGAGGCAGAACTTGATTCCCTCCTGCAATTTCTGGATCTTTCTGTGAGGTGCTTACCTTGTTCTTTATTCCCCAATTTTTTCCTCGGAGTTGTATTTACATGGCTCTGCTCCAGGGTCCCCGGGCTTCTCAGTCAACCGCACTGACCTGCAGTGCAGCCCCTTCTTTCAGTTTTCTGTTTCTGTTTGGGGCTTGTCCTGCAGTACCCTCAGTGTTCCCCGCCTGCCCACTACCAGACACTTCACTCTTCGCTCTCATGCGAAAACACCCTTGGCAATGTTTAAACACACTAAGCTACCTTTCCCCAGTGCCTGCAAAGTTCTCTGGGAAAAACTTAGTCATTAGAGGAGGCTTCTTTAAACTCTATCATTCTGTGCAGTTTCCAGGTAATTACTGCGAACGGCAACACTGTGGCCTCAGAGCAGCCTCGAATTACCTTCCGCAGGCAGGCCAAGAACATTCCCGGGGCACTAGACAGAGTTTCCGAGGGTGGGCGGCCACTGCTAACCCTTCCCTCTCTGAACATGTGCCACAAAGGCTTCTCATCCCACAGGCTCCGTGTGGAGGCTCAGGGACACTAGACAGCCCCGCGTATTAATACACACAGCGTTTCCCTCGGCCTCACGCAGCGCCGGCCTCCTCTCCTTTTGCTTGCTTGTCTTTGATGCAAAATGTTTTGGAACTTTTTCCAGTCACCATTTGCAGTCTCACCTACATGCCCTTCTGAGCAGGTGGTCCTATGGTGTAGGGGGGTGACTTTTAGGAAACTTGTGAATTTGGAGCAGACATTGCCTTTTGTATATATTTTTTTCTTAGCAAATTGTTTTTATTTGGTTTACTGATACTCAGAGTATTCAAATTTGTGAAGTTTTAGTACCCTTATTTTTTTTCTTTTCTTACTAAAAATATTGCTAGAGATACATAGTGAATTTTCACTCTGGCCAACACCCCACACACCAAGAAACTTTAATTACTATTCTGCAGTTAAATGATTTCAATATTTTTTAAAGTAGGAGTCTTTTTACATTAAAGTTGAGAAAATGAGTCACTTTTTATCTTGTTGAGACTCACCTTTTGGGTTAAAAGACTAGATAGTCATAGTTAATGCTGAGCTACTTTATTGGAGATACCACAAGTTTTGATTTCTTTCTCCTTGACACTTTAATTTTGAAAATGGAAAATATGCTCTAAATTATATAAGCAACTAAATATAGGCCATACAAGGGCATAAAAGTAGGCCACAAAATCCACAAGATCCAGAAAGTGGTCTGTATTATTTAATTAGTTTAACCATCAAATTATTTAGCTGTAGAGACCATGCACACAAAACAATGATTAATTAATTTAAGCATTTAGGCCTTTATTATAAATATGCATAAAATAATAGATTTAGAAATGAATTCTTTTCACTAACATCAGGCCTATTGTATACTAAGAAACTAAGTTACATAATTTGTTGAGTTTTTCATCACTAAGTACCAGATTTGAATACCTGGTTCTATTATTTTACTATCATGAGATTAACAGTCTTCTACAGACACACATGAAAGGACAAAATTGGGTGAAACTGACAATACAAATATTTCTTGTTGAGTACCGACGGATAATAAAACAAAAAGCAGCTTTTGTTGAAAACTCCCAGGGTACCAGGTGAGAATGTCTGTGTCTGTGGTCTCTTTGCTGGGTTTTCCCACTTCCCTCTTGGACCCCTGCCACTTAATTATGATTTTAGAAGCTTGGAACTGCTCTCAAAGTCTACAGCTTTGCCTCCAGAAAAGACAGACTTATTTTGGGGAGGCAACAGAAATATGCAGCTTTGCAGCGCTGCTGTTTACTGGAATTAAGTAGTAAGTAAAATTTATTATGGTAAGATTGAAATAAATTAAAGACTTGGTTTATAATCCCCAGGGCAAAGAAACTTCAAATAAATAACTAATAAAGTAAACAGGAATTAAAATTACATGCTAAGAAGTCAATAAAGGAATGGCAAAGGAACAAGAGAGATTTAAGACATATAGAATACAAATACCAAAATATACGTTATATGCTCCCTTACATAAGATATACTTTACATCCAAAGACATAAGTTCAAATTTAAAAGATTGATGAATATATGCCACAGAAAAAAATAACCTTACAGGGTGCAGGGATTGCCCTAATATTCTACACACGCATTTCAATTTCTCTGGGTCAGGAATCCCGGCATGTCTCAACTGGGACCTCTCTTTGGGATCATATAGGGCTTAAATCCAGTGTCCATCAGAGTTGCAGCTTCTTCTAAGACTCACATGGAGAAAAATTACTTCTACATTCTCACTGTGGGCAGAATTTACCTGGAAGCTATTGGACTGGGAGCTCAGTTTCTCACGCATTGTTGGTAGGAGGCCAACTGTAGGTCCCCACTATGACCACTTCTGCCTCAAAGTCAGCAGGAAGACAGTGAACGTATACAGGCCAGTATGGCTTATCTGATATATCTAGAAAGTTCCACTCAACAGCAACA